ACTTCACTGAATGCAAACAAATTTTATGAAGAAGCATTTAACAAATTTCCGAGGATAATGCTAGTCCCTGAAGATGTTACAGTGACAAGTACAGTTTCTCATTCTGGGTAACTAGAAAAGTGGTGTTTGTAGACTAACAAAAGAACAGAACTTCATGAACCAAGGGTTCTAGAGATGGTCTTTGAACTCATCAGCACAGACAAGATGACAGGAAGTGAAGGACATCAGAAGAACAGTCCATGGCAAATGCTTCTGAAGAGCAGATGAGACATAGCTAGAGTTAGCTGAGTATTTTCCATGGTTCTGATTTATTCTGAGACACACTCATAATATAATCAAAGATAATAGGGAGCAGACACGATTGTCCTACTTAACAGAGGAGGGAACAGAATCCCAGATAAGATAAAGACATCTTGGGTCTCACAGCTAATCCCTGGACTTCCACATATGTGCCTCACTATCTATTGCCATATTTACTGAAGAAATACGAAATTACACTGTCCAAATTCTTCAATTTTCTCTGTAAAAAACTATTTTGAAATTTCTAAAGTAAGAATTAGGAAGAGTTTCTATTTATGTTATATTCTAAGTGTAAAGTTAAAACATCAAGTTGTATTCACTTTCCCAATTGCCAGCATCTATGGCAAATCATTGCCTATTTTTCTGTACTATTTCCAAATTCTTCAAAATAATTTTTAAGTTATTAAAAGCAAATATTGGATACAACTGAAGAAAGAAAGAAAGAAAGAAAGAAAGAAAGAAAGAAGGAAAGAAAGAAAGAAAGAAAGAAAGAGAGAAAGAAAAGAAAGGAAAAAGAAGGAAAATGAACAAGAAAACAACACTAAGGAAAACAGGATCCCTTTTACTGCCTATTAAAGAGGAAGCTCGAGGTTTTTATAGCCCAGCTTAGCTCTAACTGGGTGAGCAAATAGCATTGGTAACACCATCTCACTCTGTAGGTAGCTCTGTGGAATGAAATAGTTGTATGAAGATAACTTTTGTGCTCCAAGAAAACTGTCCCATTTTACTGAATTTGGGTTTGAAATACAGGTCTACTTTCTATCCTAGGGCATATGTAATTCAGCAGTCTTTGATGGCTCAAAAACCTTTACTTTCTTACAAACCACACTTCTATCATTCTATTGTCTACAATAATTGATTGTGTTCAGAATATTCTATTAGTAGTACAAATTCTTTTCTGGCTCTTGATATAGCATTAGTTATGGGATTGCAGGCAAATCAGATTCAATTTTTGAGTCTTGGAGTGTATGATATAGATCACAGAGTAGCAAAATGGCAGAGAAGTCTTGGCCACTCCATGGGAAGGATCATATTTCACATGGGAGTGTGGTTGTGAAAGTGTTAAAATTCTTCAGTTGTTTGTGATGTCTCTGACTTGTTCCTGGACAAGTCAGGTGGCGGGAGAGATTCTGACTATCGATAGCAGGCACTATTCTTGGTAACTTAACTTAGCTACTTAAACCAATCAGGCAAAAAACTTTCTCTTGTTTCCTCTGTCAGCCACCCAAGACCTTACCCCAAACCTATTACTTCCAATTTTCCTGTCCTTGATAGGATAATTCTAGATCTACTTCCTTTGCATTTATCTACCTCATTGGACATTATATTTTCTTTGGCCATTGGATTATACTTTCCTGTATGCTCTTCAGTCAGTGCCTCCCATATCCAAGGAGATGTCTGGCTCCTGGAATTCCAATTTGAATCATAGGTCCTAACATTCCCATTTGGGGAATGGGTATTCAGACAAAAAAAAATTCTGGAAATTAAAATTTATCTGTTTTTTAAATACATGTCAGAAAATGGCCCTTGATGATATTAAGTGAATTGTTCAAACTTCACACCAGTATTTAGCAGTTCTGGAAAGCATAGACAGGAAGCAAATCTTGAGATGGTCTTGCTGAGCTGTTCCAGCTCCCAAGGCTTTCTAGAAATAAGCTTAGAAGAAAGTACAAGGGAGAAACTTGCTTGCTTTTGTTCTTTGCCAGTCACATTGATCTACTTCAGACACAGACTGCTTAGAATGCCCTGGAGAACCTGTCCTCATTCTGAGGCGTGCTTTTGGCTGTTAGAGTAGCATATAACTCTCTTCATATCTGTCTTCTCCTTCTGTGAGAGGAGGAGGCCCATTTTCTTGACTACTACATCCATCAATAACAAGACTTGTCTATGCTAGACATTTTTCAAGTCAATAGTCAATAATGTTAATCTCCTATGAGTAGAGCATTCTTGGGCCTCAGCTTTCAAAGGAAATCAATTGTTTTTAAAGTCAGTTTCATAGCTACTCTAATCGGTGGACATAATGAAAGAACAATAAATTTGCTTAATAGTTAATCTCCAAAGCCTATAAGAGAGATTGAGTTAAATTTTTTAAGTAAACTAAAAAGACAGTCTAGGATTAAACCAACAGTGCAATTATAATAGTAGTCATTTTAAAAGAGAGAATTGTAAAGCTGTTTCTTATTCTCTAGTGGAGTAAGAAAAAGCCTTCATTTGCAAGTGCAAGCCATTGGATAAACAGAGAAGATGTTTGGAGCCTTCTACTATTTCCTGGGCTCCCTGCTCCATGGGAAGTGTTACCTAAGGGCACCTGCCCCACTGGTGATGAGACTGGTTTGCACTTTGCAACTATCAACAGCATCACAAGCTGTGTGTACAGGCTCCTGATAACAAGTGGAAAGAAGAGATGGCAGGGATGGGGGGGGGGGGGGTACTTGGAACTGGGAAGGCAGAGGGAGTAAAAATCACTGTCAGATTTCTGCTCCAGAGGGTTGCTCTCTGAAACAGTCTGGGAAGAGCTGCTGATAGGTTGTGCTTGATGCATGCCAGGTAAGAACATTTTCAATAGAATGGCTTCTGGTAGGAAAAATAACACTCTGAGACACTGCTTGGGGCACAGACTACGGATTGAGGCCAGATTATAAAAATGCATTTTGGTTTTTATTTGATAGAAGGCTGGAATCCGCATGTTTGGGAGTCAAACTTGATTATTTTCACCCCCTAGGAGAATATTCTTTCCTTGGCTTAGCATAGTCTGAGGGGAAAAAAAAACTGGCTTAGCCATACATGAATTTTCCCTGTCTTTAAAGGGCCTCCATGTTTCTTTTGACTCTTAAATTTTCAAAGGGAGGGAAAAGCATGTTCAGTTGCTTAATATTTCTGTATATCTTAAAGGACCCTTCATATTTATCATCAGAGACACACCAAAGCACATTACGAGTAATGTAAGCCAGCTGGTACTTTGCAGGCCAAAATCAGTTGATGGTTTAATAGTAAAAACCATCTCTTTGTGAACATTTTTTTGGAGCACATCACTGTGGAATGCATGGCCCCTTTCTGTATTTTTTAGAAAAGAGCTGTCTCATTAGCTCTTTGCTCACATTTCTGGATACTTCTAGGATACACAAGATCAATCTGGCTCCCTTTGAGAAGGTTTTCAGAGCCACCTTACCATATTGTAGACCCCAGAGAAATTCCTAGCCACTTTAGAAGAGTAGATTCTCCAAATCTGCCCACTGAGATCCTATCTACTAATGTGGCCTGGTTCTGGAAAACCTTCTTGCCTGGACACAAACTGACCTGTGGCCTCTGCTTGGGATTAAGTGGCAGTGATAGATAAAACAGTTCAGAATGGTTGTTAAGGATCTGATCTTTTATATGGTTTCCTTCTCTATCAAAATTCTGATAGAATCGCAGTTCATGGAGTCATTCATCAAGAAAGGCCATTGTGGATCACCCTTTCTTGGAACTCATCCTATGCTTACAGTCCTTTCTCACTTTCTCTTAATAAATCTAGGTTCTCAATGCTAAAAAGGAAAAGGAGAACCACCGTAAATCACAGCATAAGCCAAAAGGATCAATATATTGACTGGCCCTTCATGCTTTTTTCCTATTTATGCTTCTTTATACATACTGTTCAGGGCCAAGTACAAAGACTGTTCCAAGGGATTTATTCTACTCAGTTTTACCCCTTCATATCATCCTGCTTGTTTGTAAGGAATTGCACATAGTTTTATTGCTAGCACATGACCAGGACATAAGATGCTAAGATATAGTGACTGTGCTGTGCAATATATATATATTATACACATACACACATTCTCTCTCTCTCTCTCTCTCTCTCTCTCTCTCTCTCTCTCTCTCTCTCTCTCTCTCTCTCTCTCTTTCACACACACACATACACTATCCAGCCTGTTGGGTAGAGCAGTTGAATTTCCTGAATATAAAATTTTCCCAGCAAAGTTCCCCCACACACACATACCCCGAAGGTAACTGTGACTGAAAATCTTGGATTGAAGACTGTTTGCATCCAGACAAACTTCGGTGGGAAAATTTTATAAGCACTAAACTCAATTATTGAATTTCATTTTCTCAGCCTCCCTGAGGAAGTGGTTACTGTTTTATGACTGATGTGTAAAATGAAGCACAAAGTAGCTAAGATATTAACTGGGAAGCATATCAAGGCTCATCATCCCAATCATACTTTCTTCTCCAAGGAGAAAGCTGGGGTGGGGCATGTATAATATCTGAAAAGTGTGCCAAAACAGTAAATCCATGCAATTACCTGCCCCACCATCTGACCTCTGAGGTGCGAGAACTATTTTAAGAACAAGGTTAGCACCTGGCCCATCACTGAGGATTTTATTGTTTGAATTTAGACCTCTCTTCTAAAGGAGAGGGGCTTAAACTCTCAGAGGTCCAAGAACCTCTCCAGTTCCTGATGACCACGAATGTCCGAGCAGGGAAGATGAACAAAACCCCACCAGCAAAGGAAAAAGATGATTCATGGTCACGTGATGGTTTCCATTGCTGCAGCTGGAGAGAGCCAGAGCTCTCGCCAACATCCGCTGACGTCTCCCTTTGCCAACCCCCCAAAATAGAAACCCCTGAGAAAAAACAGGAGCATCCCTCAGAAACACAAGAAGTCTGTCTGAGATTCGGTTACATGTAAAGATTGACTTCTGCTGGCTTTGTGCTTACAGAATTCCCACCGAGCCGCTTGCCTGCCTCTGAGTCACTCAGAAGCCAGCCCTCCCTCTTTGGGTGAGTTTTCTCTTAGAAGAACTTTTATTACTTTGAACGAATGTTTTTTCTTAATTTTTTGAAAGAATTTGCGATACACACTGACTTTATATATTTCTGGGATATAGTGAGACATTTCAGAACATATACACAATGGGAAATACAACAATTAGAGCAGGATTTTTGTCACGCCGTCTCTCCCACCACTCATCATTTCTTTGTGTTGAAAATATCGACATCTTTCTCACTGCTAGTTATTCTGGAACATATAATTAATTTTTGTTCCTATTCTAGATAAAGAGTTATGAGCATGGAACTCACATTTGGACAAATAGTACCATTTTCCACCTTATGCTCCCACATACTTTATTTCATTTACATGAAGTCATTCTAGGGACTAAGGGCTATTCATTCCCTTAAATCTACTTGCTCACCAAAGTAAAACCCCAAGCAGAGATGATGACATTTCTAGCTTGTTTGCTATTTCAAGTGACATTTTTTTTTCAGCTTCTTGCTCCGTTGCTGTGCAAACATAGTTATGCATGAAATAAAGTAAAAAAAAAAAAAAAATTAAACAGCAGTTAGTGGTTGGATGTTATTTCCAGTTTGGAACCACTGTCCAGGCAGCTATAGAAAACGCTTCCCTCTGTTATTACAAAATAGCAGTTTGTGGATGGTGAAAAGAAAACACAACTGCATTTTCTTTTAACTTCAAATACAGAAGCTCGTGTATCTATCATTACCGCCACGGCACAATACATTATGGAGAAGGTCACTGTAACTTTAGAGGGGTTATTTCCAGCCATGTCTCTCATCCTTTCAAAATGGTTATACCCGGACTGAACCGATGCCAAACCCTCCCCTAAGGAAAACACACCAAGTTGAACCGAGCTAATTAGAGAGAATGAGATAGAACTGAAAGGTCACCGTTTTGACCCAAGACGAAAGTAGATTTTGTCATAAGCACCCAGTACGGCAGGCCAAACCAGCCCTGCTTCTCCCTTCAGTTACATTTTATGTCTAGGTCTGACTTTCCATATAGATTCTCCTTCACCAAAAGCCCACATTTATGGCCCTTGTCAGTAACCAGGGACTATCTAACAACAGAAAGAATCATTCCACTTCTCTTTCACAGAATTTTTGTCATCACCTTTTAGTACTGATAATGATGATGACAAACATAATATCAATAAGATAGGTAATATTTACTAAAGACTAACTACCCTTCAGGGAATGTTATGATTTAAAACACATGACAATGCTATGGAGGAATGGTTGGACATTTTGTGTTTCAGCTACATGTTTAGCTGAGCTATCTTCATATGAGACTTACGTTATGGTGGGACCTGAGTTTATAAGTCATCACGTCTTTCAAATATGCCTTCTAAGTTAGTCCTCATTCAGTGCATAAAGCAACTGTCTGGAGGAGACATACATGTCCCTAAATCCTGGGAGGTCTGATGATAGTATCTGCTCTAAAATAGCCGATAAAATCACACCAACACAGTGAATATGCCAAAAGAGAAACCAAAGCATCAAGAAGCTTCTCAAGACTACCTTGTAACTTGACCTTCAAAAATAACACAAATCGATTAATATTTTCAAATGGCAGTGCCTTCACAATTTGTAATTGAGTTAAAACTGTATTTCTGACATAAAAGCTTAATAAATAATGATAAGAATAAGGGTCACCGTTTGAAGAGCCTGTCTCTGGAACATTTATTTTCACCTAGTATTCTTTAGCAGATAGAAGACCTGATCTTGAGTCAGCCCTATGGTACTGCTCTAACTACATGGCCTACCACCGATGATGACACTCAGATCTTCATAGCCACAGAATATCCATCACCATTCAGAAGGTCCCTTGGATTCTCAGGGCTGTAGATGTAAGAATAACTAACTTTTGTCCTTGTCTGCCCTCCCCGATGTGAGGTAAAGTTCTCAAAGATAAGATAAAAAGGGGTATAAATCCTGCTGAGTTTGTGAAATACCTATAGCTCTAAACCACAATGTATGAAGAAGAGCTTGCAAGAAAAATAACATGGGAAGGATACGTAGAAGAGAACACTAAGAATGACGACGCCAGCTTTTAAAGATTTTGGGCCAGAATGAGATGAGCATGAATGCATTTTGTTTAGTACGGGACAAAAGACATGTGTAGACTTGCTGTACAAGCCTCTCAGCATCCGACTGGACTCTGCAATGCCAAGTAACTAGGGTGACTGACAATGGAATGTCCTCTTTGAAGAACCAGATGCCTATTGTGACCAGATGGTGAAAAATAAGATTGTATTACCTTGTCGTTCTCTCTTGCATGCCTGCTCTGTCTCTCTCTCTCTCTCTGTCTCTCTGTCTCTCTCTCTGTCTCTCTCTCTCTCTCTCTCTCATCTGTACCATAAAGCATCATATTAGTTCATTGGAAGCAGAGAGGTTCTCTGCTCCCATGGACATCATTTGTATTTATATTTATATGACAAACGGTTGAGAAAGTTTCTACACACAGGTTCTCAAGCTCCTTGCTTGCTACTCTCTCCTCTATTTACAGCTCCTTCTCATCTGTCCATCCTCAATAGAATCCATTAACAACAACTCACACAGGAAGCCTTTTCTTGTAAAGATCAAAAATAATATTTGTACTGTTATCCATAATGTATAGAGCAACAGAAAGTAATAAAATTATATTAATACACAAGTTATGAGGACTTGAGTTCAGATCCCTAGCATCCACTTACGAAGCCAGGCATGGTGGTATGCATCTGTGATCTTCACGCTGGCGGAGTTGGAGAGACTGGTGAATACCTGGAGGTCACTGAATAGCCAGGCTAGTCAATTGGTGATCATCAGGTTCAGTAAGTGAGATAAATATGTTGAGAGAGCTAGAAAACACTGTATGTTCATTTCTTCACACACACACAGGTATGTGCACACCTCCATGAACCACATACTTGCATGCATGCTTGTACACACACACACACACACACACACACACACACACACACACACACTTCACATGCTCCTACATATGAAGAGATAAAACTACATCAGAAAGAAGCAGAAAGGAAAGCAAAATCTCTCCCAAGAAAGTAGAAATAAGGATGGTAGGCTAGAGAATAAATGAAATTGAATTTCTAAATGAGTTTAAAGTATAATGGAATACAAAAGTATGCATCACCGGTGTTCCAAGAGAACAGCAATAAATATTCAACAATGTCCTGTAAGAAAGTTTTCCTAGAACTTAGGTAGGAGAAAACTAAAACAGATTCATCTCAGTGTGCATCTTAGCATGCCAGGAGGTCTAGAGTGAAAGGTCCAGAGGCATGTCTAATAAATTACAATCTATGAACTAGCAAAAGTGAATACTGATCATTCATTTGTCCGCTGGTCTTCTGAATAGATGTGTTCCAATGTGTCCTTAAGGCAGCTCTTCCTCACACTGTCAGTCTTCCTTTGGCACAGTGACCTCCTCAGGGATGCTTCCTTTATGATCCTGTCTTGAAATGAGGGCAAGGATCATGATGTGGAGTTCACCAGTCAGTCAATCTCCTGTTTCCCCTGAGGAAGTAGCTAGTGGCCAAAGCTACAAAGACTCTCCATTTGGGGGTGGCAATAGCTGAAGACTGAAAGGTCTAGCCTCTGAAACTGATACTTGGTTGAGGTCTAGGAGTAACAGTAATAAAAACTGTAGTGTCTAGTACTTGCTGGCGACAACTACAATTTCTTTTTTGGGTGGAAGGGGATTGTCTTAATCTGCTTTTATTTTGGGTGCTCAGGTGTACAGGGTTGAGATATAGTAATTATGTGCCTAAGATGATAATGATTGGTTTGTGTATGGCAACCCTTTTCAAATCTTTCATTCTTCATTTCCCAAATTACTTCTCTTTCACCGTGTAAATAAAATTATAAGCATATCTATCTTGGTATGCATGTAGTCTTGAAAAAAATTAAATACATAAATCTCCATCTATTCAATCTGCTTACATTTGCTTTGGGAACATGTAATTTTAATTAACAAAAAAGTTTAGAGTTGCAGAACTCACCCCATCTTAATATGCTGTGTCAATATTAGGTTCTGCATCTGTCTGTGATGCTGTTCATACATCTGCTTTTGGGGTGTTGCCCATGTTTTCTGGCTTCTGCTTCATGAGACTGGGTGCTGTACACACACCAGCTTCACGGATCTCTTTTTCTAAGAACGGACAAGTGAATTTCTGTCTCTTCTATACAACACAATAGTAATTCGATGTCCACGCTTCTGCCATCCCCTGTGAATCTGTGTGAGGATTTCATTCAGATATGTGCCCAGCCCATGTTGCTGAATCCCGGGGTAGCCATAGTGTTAATGTAACTGAAAAGTTGCAGTCTCATTCAGAACACCACGAGAAGAATGTAGAATGGGCTGACTGCTGTCAGAAACATGGCTGTCAAATTTTCTAGTTTTCACTAATCTGATATGTGCGAAGTGATATTCCATCTCTGTGTTTTTCCAATAAACAATGGTATCAGGCATCTGTTTATGAACATATTATGCCCATGGGCTACTTGCCTGTGGAATTCTCTTATTTCATTGATTTGAAGAACCTCCTCATATATCCTCGATACCCATTTCTTCTATTTAAAGATATTGTAAGTATCTTTTCTGAGTGTGTCTCTAAATTCAGCCTGTAATGTTTTTCATTAAACAGAAGTATGCGTATTTGCTGCTTCCTTCTTCCCCCATATTTTGTGTTCTGGTATTTCCTAAGTAGGACACTCTTAAAAGCATCATATCTGTAGTTTTCATTTTCATATCTTTCTACTTTTGAACACAGTTTCTTAACTTTGAACAAGTTAATAACAAGCTGTATTTTATGTCATAAAGTATGCCTTTCCCCAACATTATTTTGTAGTCATTCTTTGCCCAATGAGTTTGGTTAGCATATTTATTGAAAACTAAATTCTCACTTCTATTTAAGTCTTTTGAGGAATTATGTGCTACGGGTCTATTTTCCTGTTCTTATATTAGTTTGACACCTTGATGATTT